GTTGTTTTGAAAATGACTCATTTGATATTCGAATTAATTTCCTTTTTCTTTAATGTTGAAGGTAGATCCTTTGTTCGTAATGAAATTTACAATGCATATCAGAATTCAAGTACCAAACGTGATTATCAAAAGGCAGAACAAATAAGTTATCATTCTTATCAATCATCAACTAATCTTGACCTCCCTTCCGTACAAATAAGTACAACGAAGAAATTTTACATACAAAATCACATTTTTGGATTTAGTGAAAGACCAGAACTAATTTTACACAAAACCGCTGCTCAGAGGATATCCCAAAATTTCAAAATTTTGAAGCATCTTGGGTTGCTCCTCTTCAGACAAAGTTTGAAGTTTGTCACATTCTGACATCTCCAGATTATCAAGAGAGATGAGATTGAGTCTTTTGGGAAGGAATTCAAGATTTGGCAGTCGCTGAAGTTGAAGAGATGATAAACTGGTAGGCAACAACCAATCCTCTGGAAAGGACACCAGCCCTTGACAACCACCAAAGGCGAGGCTGTTGAGACAAGTGAGTCTGTGCAGCCCCCACTCAAATGAAGGCTTGAAATTCTCACAGTCCAAGATCGACAGCGACGATAGATTGGTTGGTAATCCACCCTCTGGAAATGACACAAGATTAGAGCAACTCTCTATGCATAGTTCTTGAAGGGATGTGAGGCTGTGCATACGATTTGGTAGGGACTTGAGGCTTCCACAACCAGAAATTTTAATTGATTGCAGCATGGAGTTTGGCAGGCCAAATTCCGCGATAGACTGGAGAAGTGGACACTCAGTAACTTCCAAGTGATGGAGATGCTTGAGGTTGTGTAGGCCCTCAGGTAACAACCGGAAGTTGTCGCAGTTGTTGATGATGAGCTGTTTAAGGTTCATGACCATTGCAGATGTTACTGCAGGGAGACCGAAAGTACCTTTCGGAAAGGAGGTAACAGAATGACACCCGGAAATCTTTAGAATTTCAAGACAAGTGTTGTTGTGAATCATATCCTTGGGAAGGCACTCCAAGTTTATGCAATTTCGAATTTCAAGTTGTTTAAGTGTACTAGGAAGCTCTCCTCTTGGGAAAGACTTCAGAGAAGAACAATCTTCAATTACCAGATACTCGAGTGGAAACAACAACTTGTTACTGTTTTGCATCTTCCACTCAGGTAAGAATTGTAATGCCTCACAACCCTTGATCTCAAGGCCTCTAAGCATGGATGGCAAGCCTGTTCCAGGAAAAGACAAAAGCGAGGAACATCTCGAGACTTTAAACTCCTTGAGAGACGACAGTTTGTGCAAGCATTGTGGCAGCTCATGTAAGAATGGACATCCTAAAATTTCCAAGCGTTTGAGGTGCAATAGGTTGGGAAATCCAATCTCATTAGACAAAGTGGTAATCTCGCTGAAATGTGCAATCTGCAACTCTTCAAGAGCCGTCAAGTGTTGCAGAAACCCTTCAGGTAGACATGGTATCTGTGGAATTTGATTCAAATGCAAGTAGGTAACTGAGGTAAGTCCAACTATATTTTGTAGTACCCCCTTGTTGCACTTTTCAAATTCCAACTCCCGGATTGAAGGGAGTTTGGGCAGTTCTGCTAATTCTTGACATTCATTTATCTCGAGTACTTGCAGAGAAGGAAAGAGGCTAGGTAACTCCTTCAAGTTGGGACATGTCCATATAGAAAGTTCGCGGAGGTAAGGGAATTCTGTGCCTTTTTCTAAGCTGTCGTAAGCTCTTGAAAGGTTTGGAAGAGCAATCCCTTCAAGTTGGGACATGTCCATATAGAAAGTTCGCAGAGGTAAGGGAATTCTGTGCCTTGTTCTAAGCTGTCGTAAGCTCTTGAAAGGTTTGGAAGAGCAATCAATTCTTCACAGCACTTAATTTTCATTTCCCTCAAGGCAGAAAAGTGTTGTGAGAACTTTCTTAGCTTTGGACAGTTTAGAATTTCAATCTTCTGCAGGTGACAGAAGTCTTCCCTGCCTTCAACCCCAGAGGATGACCAATCCTCCCAGTTTATCATGTTGTCAAACTTTAGAGTCTCCAATGACGGAAATGGAAGGATAGGAGAATTACAGTCGCCATAGAACTCAGGTCCTATACTTTTTATCCCCTCCATTCCTTCAACAATGAGGTCTTTTAGTGAAGGTAGTTGTCCAAGTGCCGGTAGTTGCATACACTTGTTACAATCACTAAACTTTAAAACTATGATATTAGAGAACAATGGAGACTCAATCCAACCAGGAAATCTTGTGCCTCCGTAGTCTTTGATTGTAACTCCTTTTATATTTTTATGAGGTTGAAGCATCTCAAGGACAACCATTTCAACTCTTTCATTTCTTGAATCATCCAAATTCCTCTGTCTCAATCTGAACTCAATGGCTTCTTGATTATAAGCATCCATGGTTTCCTTAAAACTTGGAAATCTTGCAACACTTTGACCTCTGATGCTGAGATCTTCTGGGTTGCTATGCAGTTGTGGCATGT